GACACCCTGGGGACGCCCTGGGGGCACCCTGGGGACACCCTGGGGACACCTCGAGGACACCCTGGGGACACCCTGGGGATACCACGGGGACACCCTGGGGACACCCTGGGGACACCCTGGGGACACCCTGGGGACACCTCGAGGACACCTCGAGGACACCCTGGGGACACCTTGGGGCTGGTTGTGGGCACAGGGGCAGCTCTGGGGCTTGTGTTTCCCCCCCAGGGCAGGTGGCTTCAATTCCCCCCCTCCCTCCCCACCCCCAAAAAAGGGCTCCTCTGAGCCCAACCTGCTGCTGCTGCCCAGCCCAGGAGGGGGTTCCTCTCTGGTTCTCCATGGGTTTCTGGCATTTCTTTGCTTTCTTGATGACTTTTGTTGAAATGGAAAGGCAAGGGGGGAGGTGTTGGTGACCCAGGAGGGTGCTGGTGGGAAATGCATCTCCTGACCCCCTCGTGGGCAGCTGTGACCTTCCACAAGTGGCTTCTCTGCCTCCCTGCCATCCCCACTCCTGTCCCCAGCCCTGCCTGGCCCTCTCAGCAGGGTCTGACACATCCACATCCCTCCCCATTCAGCCCCCAGCCTGGATCTCACCAGCCTTTCCCTCCCCCCACTGCTGCTTTGCTCTTGGCTTTGACCTCCTGAAGGGCACGTTGGGCTTGGGATCCTTCCCTGGGCTTGGGATCCTTCCCTGGGCTTGGGATCCTTCCCTGGGCTCATTCCCAGGCTCATCCCTGGAGCCAGGGGTGCAGATGGGGCTCTGGTTGTACAGAGCAAGCACCTCCCTTCCCAACCCCACCCTTGGGAGCTCAACATCCTTCCCTCAACAAGCAGGACCATTTTTTTTCCCCCTTCACCTTCCCTCAGCCAAACCCCAGACTTCCCAGAGGGATGCTCTTTGGGAAGCACCTGGGAGCTGCTGTTGCCACCTGAGAACCACCTGCTGGTACCTCCTTCTCCCCACGGGCTCAGGGGGGGCCTGGGGGCTCTTTTAGATGGTGTGGGGAGCAATGGGATGGCAGCAGATGGTCCTTTCAGGCCTTTGTGGAGTGAAATTGCTGGACAGGAACCATCCTGAAGAATTCAGTCGTGGTCTAAGTCAGCTTAGATTTGGAGAGATGACCAGACTCTGCAACCCCCCTGGCCCAGGGTTGTTGGCTGCTCCTCTACCTCCCCTTGCTGGGGTTTGAACCTCTTTGGTGCCAGTCAATGAAGAGCAGGAGCTTTGTTGCAGCTGGGAAGTGATGGGGCTTGGATTGGGGGAGCGAGGGGGGACACAAAGGTGCTTTTAGTCCTGAAAACTTCCACACGTGTGGATGGATCAAGGCTGAGGTGGGCAGGGGCAGGAGGGTGAATCCAGGCTCTGAGGGTGCTGGCAGGGCGTGGGTCTGGATGAGGTTGGGGCATTTCATAGAACCCCAAACTGGTTTGGGTTGGAAGGGAACCTCAAAGATCATCTAGATCCAACCCTCCTTGCATGAGCAGGGACACCTCCCACCAGCCCAGGTTGCTCCAAGCCCCATCCAACCTGCCCTTCAACACTGCCAGGGATGGGGCAGCCACAGCTTCTCTGGGCAACCTGGGCCAGGGTCTCACCACCCTCACAGGGTGGTCTCTGGTCCCCTGGGAGTGATGCAGCAGGTGGCTGAGCACCACCTCATCTCAAAGGCTTTTGGTGGCTCCTCCCCATCCCACCTCTTTCCTGGCTAACCCCCTCCAGCTGCCCCATCCACCTCCTCAGCCCCCCAGCCCTTCCCTGCCACCCCAGACCCTCTCCACCCTCTGCTCTCATGTGCCACAAACGTTGCACTGCTCCTCAGAGTCCCTCTGAGGTTTCACCCATGCCTTCACCTGCCCTGGCCCTGGGCTCTGTGGGCAGGAGGGAAGGACAACAGGGAGGTGTCACCCTGAAATCCCTGGTCCCCAAAGCACGTCCAGAAGGAGGAGAAAAGTGGTGGTGACCTCCCAGCTGGGTGGATTGAGTTTCTCAAGGGGTGAGCTTCCCCCTTGGGGGCACGTTGGGAAGGTGGTGGTGACACCGTGGGTGATGCTCAGCACTGGGGGGGGGAGGTCAAAAGTGCTGTAGCCTGATAGATGTTGTGCAGATTAATGGGGGGAGGTCCAACCTTGAGATGCTGTGGCTTTGTGCTCTGTGCCCCAAAACCTTCTACGTGCCTGTAAAGTCCCACCTTGAAATACCCCCCATGGGGTCTCATCTTGAAATACCCCCATGGGTCCCACCTGGAAATACCCCCATGGGTCCCACCTTGAAATACCCCCCCTGGGGTCTCACCAGCCCTTGGCAAGACTCAAGGAGACCACGTTGGTTTGGGTCCTCACCAGGAGCACAGGGCTCTGCAGTGACCTCAGCCAACCGTGTCCACCTTTGGATTTTGGGGCACCCAAGAAGGAGCCAAGTGCTCCTGGAGCCAACAAACCTCTCCAGCTCTTCCCACACCTCCCTCCTCTTCCTCCCCTGGCTGAAACATCTCGAGCAGGCCACGAGCAGAGCTGTGACAGCACAAGGGGGTCTTGGAACCTCTAGCCCTGGATTTCTCAGCTCCAGCCCTGGGCTTTGCATCATCCCTCCTGCTTTTTGAAAACCTTCATTATTCAAAAGAAACAACCAACAACCCCCCCCAAAAAAAACCCAAAACAACCCAAACCAACAAATAGTTTTCATTTCTTTTCATTTTTGTGGTGGTTGTTGTTGCTGGTGGTTTTGTTCTTGGGTTTTTGGGGTTTTTTTTGACTCAGGGTTTGTTGGGGTT